TCTCTCTGTGTATGATGGAGGCAGAGCTGGTACAAGCATTGTCAAGCTCATCTTCAATCTGGATCAAACACTGGGAGAAGGGGAATATAGGAAGTTATATTTTACATCATTGGAAAGTAGAAGTGTATATTCTGGCTTCTTATTCAGTGCTCAATTTGCACCAGCTTTTGTGTAGGTGGTGGCTAGGAAAGGCAAGGAACCACAGCCTTGTTGAGTCAATAATGGATGCAGTGAAGGATACTGGGAGACAAGCTGGAAGCCAGCCATGTTCTCTTCCTCCTTAACTTCCAATTCAATAAAGAGGAAAGAATAGGAAAGACTGTGGGGTTGGAAATTATGACCATTGGAAGCAGCCCTAATAAAAAGATGTATTATTTTATTACTGGATTACGACTTCCTAAAAATTCAAGGAATTTTAGCCCTAACTATTCTGGGATCTTCTCCTGCAAAGATGTGAGTGGTGAACGCAAATAGGGAAGGCCCTTTCATAGCTACGCTCCACCGCCCGACCCACTCCCCCTCACCCCTGCAATTGAGAAACACACTGAATATATTTATATGCACAGGTGAGATATTTGCTATTTTGAAAGATGTCAGAAAGTCTTGCTGAGGCCATGTGAAGTATAGTCCTGAGTTTCTGCTTGCCTACTTTTCATCACAATGGCACTTTCTTTGTTATGTTCAATAGAACCCAATGGAAGTCATTGGGGAAAGAGGTCAGTGTCTGCCTACATATCTATATCCATTTATCTGCTTAACCTTACCTTGGTTCCATTTCCTACACAATAATAGTGTACTTTTAAAATAAGACCTTAAAACCATGCTGCTGCTAAATAGTGGGAACATGCCTAAAATTAATTTCCAATTTCCTAAGATTTGTTGCGCCATTTATTTTATGCCTCATTCATAGATAGATAGATAGATAGATAGATAGATAGATAGATAGATAGATAGATAGATAGATAGGCTTTTATTGATTTGAATTAAAACAATCTACTTTACAATCTACATGGCAAACACAAGAGAACTCTAATCTCCCATTCCAAATAATATTTAGAAACAAAAACTGAAAGAAAAAAAATACTGTTCTACCATTACAGATACAACTAAATAAACTTACTAAGATTATTACGGTAATAACCATAACCACAAATCATTGCAGTGGACCCTTGGTATCTGCTAGGGTTTAGTTCCAGGACTTCCTGTGGATAGCAATATTGTGGATTCAATGCTAAACAAAGTGACCAATTGCAGCATTCAGATTTGCTTCAAGCATACAAGAGTTCTTTCTCCTACACTGAACATTCCACAGATATAGAAACCACACTTGCCTAGTTTCCAACAGACCTCACAACCTCTGAGGATGCCTGCCACAGATGTGGGTGAAACATCAGGAAAGGATGCTTCTGGAACATGACCATACAGCCTGGAAAACTCACAGCAACCCAGGGATTCTGGCCATTAAAGCTTTTGACAACACACTGTTCTCATATATCTCAGAAGCTGATCATAATTTTGTCTAAATTTTTTATCCATAATACTCAACAACAACATGTATAGTGTCATTGTAAACATTACCTTTAAAACCTTTTGAATTTTAAACCAATAACATTTTTGTTGTCTTACATGCCTTATCTTGGCAACTCCAAGACCGATTTGAAACATTCTTAGAGATTTTTGACTATTTATTTGGAGTTAGATACAACTGAATCATCATCTTATCCATATTTTCTTTTAAATTACTGACAAGAGTGACTTTAAGAGATGATAAGGGAGGTAGGCAAAAACTTCAGGAACCAATGGGTTTGGGGAAAATTGGGCTGATGGGTCACAGAGATTAATTGCCCCCTTTCATGCATTCTGTGTGGCTTGGGTCCAGGTTTTTTGAAGGACTGTGTCTCTCTGTGTGAGGCTGTTGGAAATCCATGATCTGCTGGAGAGGGCCTTCTCTTTGTCCCACCACTCTCTCAAGTGTGTTTGGAGGTCTTTTTGGTAACTGCTCCCAAACTCTGGAACTCCCTCACAAGAGAGACCCGTTCGTGCTTGCCTTTTGCAGGAGATGAAAACATACCTCTGCCATCAGGCATTTAGGGGATGATATGAGATAGGCTGCTGGGGATGCTGTGGGTGGGATTTTGGAGTGCTGTGTAATTTTTAAATGTAGTTTTAAATGGGTTGCTGTGAGTTTTCTGGGCTGTATGGCCATATTCCAAAAGCATTCTCTCCTGACATTTTGCCCACATCTATGCCTGTATTTTATTGTTTTTACCAGGTAGTACTATGCATTTATGATGTAGTGTTGATGTTTATTGACTACATATATGTTTTGCACTTTTTGTATTTTGCATGTCACACCTTGAGTGTTTTGTGAGCTGTTCTGAGTCCCTCTGGGAGATGGTGGTGAGATATAAATACTACTACTATTATTATTATTATTATTATTATTATTATTATTATTATTATTATTGGCATCCTCAGAGGTTGTGAGGTTTAGAATGTAGTTTTAAATGTACTTATTTTGCATTTTTATTGCATTTTCATTTTTATGCTTCATGATACAAAAAGATGTAATTGTTTTTTAATTTTATATTCTTATTGTAATGCATTGGCTCTGTATTTAATTTATATTATGTCATGTGTGCTGCTAGCCACTTTGAGTCCCCATATCAGGGAAAAGGTGGGACAAAAAATAAAGTAAATAAATAAAATGCTGCCCATTCTTGTTTATTTGTGCCTTTTTACTTTTAAACAAATGCTTTCTAATTCATACCTGTAAAAGAAACATCAGAACAGACCATGAGTTCATAGGTCTGTTCCCACAAAAGCGTGCACAAATTGTGAAATTTCTCCACAACAAGAAGAGAACAGTGCCACTAAAAAGTTAAAAGAAGAAGAAGCAGCAGCCTTGGGGTGTGAAGCTAGCTCAGACATGGGTGAACTTCGGCCCTCCAGGTGTTTTGGACTTCAACTCCCACCATTCCTAACAGCCACAAGCCCCTTCCTTTCCCCGCTCAGCTGCTTAAGCAGGCTTGAGGCTGTTAGGAATGGTGGGAGTTGGAGTCCAAAACACCTGGAGGCCCAAGTTAGCCCATGCCTGAGCTAGAAGCACAGCCCCCCATCCTGGCTGAGCAACGCTGAGGACCAAGGCCCCCCTCCCTGGAGAGAAGCGGAGGAAGCAGAGGAAGCTGCCCCAGGCTGTGCATGACAGGCCCAGCGCCTGCCGCATTAAGATTACAGAGAGAGCGACTCAGAGTAAAACCGGCTAAAAGGAAAAGAAGCTCTAGGCTCTTGCTATCCTGTTAAAGTCTTTGCAAGGATCAAGATGTCAAGCAATTGGCTTGCTCTGGGCAAATTTCTGGGCACACCAAAGCAGTGTGCTTAGGCACTTGGCTCAGACTCTTCGAGCAGCACTCTGTTGTTTACAGGACTTTTTAGCCTTCAAATATAAATGAAAAGGGGGAAAAGGAGGAGGCATACCTAAATACCCTGAAATCACTTCTTCCTGTCTGCTTTTGGAAACTGAGCAGAGTGAGGTCTGGTTTACACTTGGATCAGGGACTGTCAAGGAATACCCAATGCTATAGGCTATAGTTCATAGGGAGTCAATTGCATGCACACACACACACCCTCTAAGGCTGGGTCTACATGCCAAGTAATGTAGTTTGAAGTGCATTATATGGTCAGTAAGATAAATGTAAAGGTTTCCCCTTGACATTAAATCTAGTCGAGTTGGACTCTGGGGGGTAGTGCTAATCTCCATTTCTAAGCCAAAGAGCGGGCGTTGTCCATAGACATCTCCAAGGTCATGTGGCCAGCATGACTGCATGGAGCACCATTCCCTTCCTGCAGAAGCAGTACCTAATGATCTAGTCACATTTGCATGTTTTCGAACTGCTAGGTTGGCAAAAGCTGGGGCTAACAGTGGGAGCTCACCCCGCTCCCTGGATTCGAACTGCCAACCTTTTGATCAACAAGTTCAGCAACTCACTGGGGGTTTCTATATGGTCAGTGTAGCCCCATATAATACAGTTGGGTGCAGTTCAATTCACAATATATGGGTCTACACTGACCATATAGTGCATTATTTGCCAGTGTCACTCCAGTTTTAGTATTCTATGCCTGAGGAAAATTCAGTGAAATTCATGGGAAAGTTTTATGCTACAAGTGACTTCAAAAGGCACCCTCATTCACACAAGCTCCTTATACTCAAGCTCCTGGGAATGGTCTTATACGACTTTTTGTTTTCCTATTATTACAGGTTTGGGGGCTGATTCTACCCCTGAAACCAGGGTTCAACACTAGAGCTCACTGCAAGAATGGAAAAGGTTGTCTTTGAGCATATGTAAATGGACCTTTCTCTCCCCAGTAAAGGGACATTTACATATGCTCAAAGGCAACTTTTCCATTTTTGCAGTGAACTCTAATGCTATGCCCTAGCATAGGCACCACCTATGCTCTTCTCACCACATACACTCCTGAGCTATATTATTTTTTCATCCTTTGGGACTGGAGGAAGCATTCAGCCCAACCCCCAGTGGCGCAGTGGGTTAAACCCTTGTGCTGGCAGGACTGAAGACCAACAGGTCGGAGGTTCAAATCCGAGGAGAGCATGGATGAGCTCCCTCTGTCAGCTCCAGCTCCCCATATGGGGACATGAGAGAAGCCTCCCACAAGGATGGTAAAAACAGCAAAATATCCGGGCGTCCCCGGGGCAACGTCCTTGCAGATGGCCAATTCTCTCACACCAGAAGTGACTTGTAGTTTCAAAAGTTGCTCATGACACACACAAAATCCCAACTCCTGTGCTTGCCCCTCTGTCCTGCAGCCAAGAGACCCTGGTCTGTTTAAATGCGCATTGCCAACTCTCCACACTTTGAAGGAAGAGTTGAGAGCAAGTTCTGAAGCCCAGGCTTTGTGGGCCATCTGCGTGGAGCTCTGGGATTGTCAGAATGGGGCTGAGCAAAGAGCCTGGGACCACTCTAGGGGTCGAGGTTCCCTACCTGCTCTTGCTGGGTGGGCCGGACTGCGGGGGGAGCGTGACCATGGCCTCGGAGGGAGAAAAAAGCCCAAGTCCCCAGAGAAGGGAGTCCCCAACTGTAATCCAGTTCAGGCGCGTCCTTCCCGACCCATCCGAGGGCCGCCTTCCCAGTCCCCTTCGCAGAGGAGCCCCTCCTTCAGGACCGAGAAGGACCGCGCTCTTCCTCGAGGTGAATTCAGCACCAAAGGCGGCGGACAGCTCCAGCAGGGAGAGCGGGGGCTCAGCAGCAGCCGAAGGCAGAAGGCAGAAGCGCGCTCCGTCCGTCTCTTCTCCTCTCCTCCTCCTCCTCCTTCCTCCCTTCTTTCTTGCTTTCCTTCCTTCCTTCCTTCGCACCCCTCCCTCCCGCCTCTCGCTTCTCCCGCCCTTAATCTGCCTCAAGGCGACCTGAGCAGAGGCTCTACAGAGCTCCTCAGCCTCCCCCAGAGTCAGGAAACCAAACCCATTGAGCCTTCCCGGCTGCTGCTGCTGCTGCCACCATCACCACCACAGGCTGGAAGCTCCCACGTCGAACTGGGGGGAAAGTTGGCATTGGCAAGAGTCTCTCTCACACAATTATAGCCTTTTCGTCCCATTTCAATTCAGATTCATTGATTGAAAGGCTAGAGCTCTCCGGGAGAGAATTTTAAAGCACACTGAGACATACAAACAGTCCTCGGCGAATCACCTCCCAACAAAGGATTCCCCCAGGCAGTAAGAAGCCAGACCTTGAACCTGCTAGGCCATTACATGCTAATCAAGGTGGCCAATTGAAACATTCACACCTACTTCAGACAAATTATTATTATTATTATTATTATTATTATTATTATTATTATTTACCTATACTGGCACAAGCCTGTAAAGGTGGTCCCAGTGGTGATCGGCACACAGGATGCAGTCCCTAAAGACCTTGGCCTGCACTTAAACACAATTGGCACTGACAAAATTCCCATCTGCCAGCTGCAGAAGGCCACCTTACTGGGATCTGCACACAACATTCGCCAATACATCACACATCGTAGATACTTGGGAAATGTCCAACCTGTGATCCAATACAACAGCCAGCAGAGTGATCTTGTCTGCTGTGGACTCATCTTGTGGTGTTTCAAATAAGATATATATATTCATATCTTATTTGAAACACCACAAGATGAGTCCACAGCACTCCAGTATCCTTGCCAAGAAAACTAAATGGACCAGTACAACCAGAGATATGTCGGTATGCCATTGGAAGATGGGACTCCCAGGTCGGAAGATGCTACTGGGGAGGCGCAGAGGATAAGTTCAACTAGCCCCAGATGTGATGACGCAGCTAGCTCAAAGCCGAAAGGAAGGCTAGCGGCCGACGGTACTGGAGGTGAACGACGAATCCGATGCTCTAAAGATCAACACACCCTAGGAACCTGGAATGTAAGATCTATGAGCCAGGGCAAATTGGATGTTGTTATTGGTGAGATGTCAAGACTAAAGATAGACATTCTGGGGGTCAGCGAACTGAAATGGACGGGAATGGGCCACTTCACATCAGATGACCACCAGATCTACTACTGCGGACAAGAGGAACATCGAAGAAATGGAGTAGCCTTCATAATTAATAAGAAATTCGCTAAAGCGGTGCTTGGATACAACCAAAAGAGACATCATTTTCATTACAGGAGACTGGAATGCCAAGGTGGGAAGTCAAATGACAACAGGGATCACAGGCAAGCATGGTCTGGGAGAACAAAATGAAGCGGGACGCAGGCTGATAGAATTTTGCCAGGAAAACTCGCTGTGTATAACGAATACTCTCTTCCAACAACCTAAAAGACGGCTTTACACATGGACTTCACCAGACGGTCAACACCGAAATCAGATTGACTACATCCTTTGCAGCCAAAGGTGGCGGACATCCATCCAGTCGGTGAAAACAAGACCTGGGGCTGACTGTAGCTCAGATCACGAACTTCTTATTGCCCAATTTAGAATAAAACTAAAGAGATCAGGGAAAATACACAGACCAGTTAGATATGATCTCACTAACATTCCTAACGAATATACAGTGGAAGTGAAGAACAGATTTGAAGGACTAGATTTAGTAAACAGAGTCCCAGAAGAACTATGGACAGAAGTCCGAAACATTGTTCAGGAGGCGGCAACAAAGTACGTCCCAAAGAAAAAGAAAACCAAGAAGGCAAAATGGTTGTCTGCTGAGACACTGGAAGTAGCCCAAGAAAGGAGGAAAGCAAAAGGAAACATTAAGGGGAGATATGCCCAGTTAAATGCGCAATTCCAGAGGTTAGCCAGAAGAGATAAGGAACTATTTTTTAAATAAGCAATGCTTGGAAGTGAAAGAAGACAACAGAATAGGAAGGACAAGAGACCTCTTCCAGAAAATTTCAGGCAAAAATTGGTATAATAAGAAACAAAGATGGCAGGGACCTAACAGAAGCTGAAGAGATCAAGAGAAGGTGGCGAGACTATACAGAAGATCTGTATAGGAAGGATAATAATATGGAGGATAGTTTTGACGGTGTGGTGAATGAATTAGAACCAGACATCCTGAGGAGTGAGGTTGAATGGGCCTTCAGAAGCATTGCTAACAACAAGGCAGCAGGAGACGACGGGATCCCAGCTGAACTGTTTAAAATCTTAAAAGATGATGCTGTCAAGGTGATGCATGCCATTTGCCAGCAAATATGGAAAACACAAGAATGGCCATCAGACTGGAAAAAAATCAACTTATATCCCCATACCAAAAAAGGGAAATGCGAAAGACTGCTCAAACTTCCGTACAGTGGCCCTTATTTCTCATGCCAGTAAGGTAATGCTCAAGATCCTGCAAGGAAGACTCCAGCAATACATGGAGCGAGAGTTGCCAGATGTTCAAGCTGGGTTTAGAAAGGTAGAGGAACGAGAGACCAAATTGCCAATATCCGCTGGATAATGGAGAAAAGCAGGGAGTTTCAGAAAAACATCTACTTCTGCTTCATTGACTATTCTAAAGCCTTTGACTGTGTGGATCATAATAAATTGTGGCAAGTTCTTAGGGATGGGCATCCCAAGCCACCTTGTCTCTCTCCTGAGGAATCTGTACAAGGACCAAGTAGCAACAGTAAGAACTGACCACGGAACAACAGACTGGTTCAAGATTGGGAAAGGCGTACGGCAAGGCTGCATCCTCTAACCCAACCTTTTTAACTTGTATGCAGAACACATCATGCGATGTGCGGGGCTTGATGAATGCAAAGCTGGGGTGAAAATTGCTGGAAGAAACATTAACAACCTCAGATATGCAGATGACACCACTCTGATGGCCGAAAGCGAGGAGGAGCTGAGGAGCCTTCGAATCAAGGTGAAAGAAGAAAGCGCAAAAGCCGGGTTGCAGCTAAACGTCAAAAAAACCAAGATTATGGCAACAAGAATGATTGACAACTGGAAAATAGAGGGAGAAAACGTGGAGGCCGTGACAGACTTTGTATTTCTAGGTTCAAAGATTACTGCAGATGCAGACTGTAGCCAGGAAATCAGAAGACGCTTACTTCTTGGGAGGAGAGCAATGTCCAGTCTCGATAAAATAGTAAAGAGTAGACATCAGACTGGCAACAAAGATCCGCCTAGTCAAAGCCATGGTATTCCCTGTAGTCACCTACGGATGTGAGAGCTGGACCTTAGGGAAGGCTGAGCGAAGGAAGATCAATGCTTTCGAGCTGTGGTGTTGGAGGAAAGTTCTGAGAGTGCCTTGGACTGCGAGAAGATCCAACCAGTCCATCCTCCAGGAAATAAAGCCCGACTGCTCACTGGAGGGAAAGATACTAGAGACAAAGTTGAAGTACTTTGGCCACATCATGAGGAGACAGGAAAGCCTAGAGAAGACAATTATGCTGGGGAAAGTGGAAGGCAAAAGGAAGAGGGGCCGACCAAGGGCAAGATGGATGGATGGCATCCTTGAAGTGACTGGACTGACCTTGAGGGAGCTGGGGGTGGTGACGGCCGACAGGGAGCTCTGGCGTGGGCTGGTCCATGAGGTCACGAAGAGTCGGAGACGACTGAACGAATGAACAACAACAATATTCACATGCTTCAATTATATTTTCTTTAAGCTGATATATATAATGTACCTGTTTCAACTTACAAAGAAATTCGATTTAAAATCAAATCTACAGAGTCTATCTTGTTTGTAACTTGGGGGCTGCCTGTATTTCACTTCTGATACTTTTTGAACACAGCTCTAAATGGATCCTATCACACGACATTTGTCCCATTGCATCAGTAATTCATAGGAATGAGGCAGAAGGGAGGTGCATTTTCCAAATAGAAAAAGGCCATTCCACACATTGTGGAGGAAAACCAGCTTATAGATGTGTCACCAAAAGTTTACTACTCAACTAGAAAGTGTCTCCAAGCATGTTTCCTGGGGATGACCTGAATAGTGCTATATTTGCAAACACTGGATTCTATTTATTTATTGCCCTAGGCAGTCATATTTTTAAAATATACAGGCATTTTAAGATGCTCACTTGAAATCCTCTTTGCGTACACTTTCATAGTGTAATTGTGAACCAATCCTTCATTTATTTTCCTTTGCATCAGCAGTTGATTGGGAGGTGCCATAGTTATCCCTGAATGGAAAGCTGTCTTGCCTCAAAATTCCAGCAACCAGGTTGGTGGTGGTTGCAAGTTTCCTGTTTCCTGCACCCCAGAAAAAAAAGGCCAGTTTGAAACAGTTCAGCTTTCTTCTAGTTCTATTTGTTCATATTTATACCACAGAGCTAAACACAACCAAGCCTGCTTAGTACATGGACAGCAGACCCCCCAACAATTGAATTCTCCAGTTAGAGTCAGGAAAGTGTGTGTATATATGTGTCTTTAAGTAGCTCGTTGATTTATGGTGGCCTCACCAATTTCGTAGGGTTTTCTTAGGCAAGGCACACTTAGAAATGATTTTGTTAATTTCTTCCTCTGAAATGTAGCCAACAGCAGTTGGTATTCACCAGCAGACACCCATCTATAAAGATCTTTAAAGAATAATGTTAGGAAATAACATCATTTGGGAGGTGTAGCATGGCAGGGTGACCCAGTCTTTTCTCATTGCCCTTTGTAGTCCCCTACAGTTACCATGTGACTGACAATGGAGTTGCCTTCCATTTCAAGGACCAGGGTACACACACACAAAAGGACTTATTGCCTTCTTTGAGATGGCTTTGATTTTGTCCTTTAAAATTACCTCCCACTCCATGATTCAAACAACTCAGCACCATATCACTGAAAACCTAAGGCCCAATACTAGTAAAGGAAATAGGCTTCTAAAGCAAACCTGAAGCACAAGCTACTTAACCTTCTTGCAAGGATTGCAGACCCCTCTTTCAAATGCTTTGGTAGTCCTTTGAGGGGCAGTTGGCTTTCTCCCCAAGATAATAGCTTGTTATTATTCTCTTGCTTCTTTTGTATTTGT